ATCAAGGGAGGAGGGTGGGATCCACTGAACAAGTGGGTCTCAGTTTCTTGCTCTGAACTGGGCTGTTCTCGGATCCTCTGCTGACAGTGGTTAAATGGAAACCCCCACTAAACCCCACTTCTTTCAGGATATGATGTCAACCCTGTGCTAAAAACGGATGCATTTACCCTGGAAAACCGAACGGTTTGCCAATAAATACCCTAAGCCCCTAAGCCAAGCGGGTATTTGCTTGGTTGCTGCCGACCCCCCTGCAAAAAGTTTAGCTTTGTGGGGGCTTAGTGGAAAACCCCTTGATTTCCTCAAAAAGCTCAAGTCGAAAGATCCAACCCAATAGCGTCAACCCCCTCCATGTACCCCTTTTGTTTCAGGGTCTCATGTCTCATGTCAACCCTCGACTGAAACAGGATCGAGGTATTTCTTTCTGACAAACCAAAGTAGCAACCCTGAGGGTCATGACACTCCCAATGCGCAACCCCGGGCCCTCCATGAAGAACCCCGACCAATTCAGTCAGCCCTAAAGAACTCTTTTGGGAATTCGTCCACCCACAGGCGTTCCAATGCCCACCAGAAAAGGTGGGTACCTGGAGTTCTCCTTGTGCCCCCTCGAAAAAGGGTCATGACCCCTGAATTTTGGGGAGTATTTTCAAGGGTACCTGGAGTCTCCTTCTGACCCTTGAAAAATGGTTGGTCAGACTCCCCAAAATTAAGATTCGGAGCAGTTGACTCCTTTTTCTAGGGGGCAGAAGGAGACTCCAGGTATTTGGAGGCGGCAACATGGGTCTGCATTTCACCATGGAGAGACAGTGAAAAAAACATTCCGCGAGAGCTCTGACCCCGACTCCGCGCAGCGGAAGCGCGCTTTGTTGCGCGGGTAGGGTTGAGCGTGTGTATTTCTTGTTCAAAGGATGGGTGCTACCCATGCTCAACCCTACAGGTGCCTAAATTGTGGTCTGCCTTTGGTTTCACGGAGAAAAAAAAACAAAGAAAACACATAAGACAAAAACAGCAACCCCGAAAAGGAGCAATTCCTTTGAAAGCACAAAAACACAACGTGTCCCACTTGCCGGGGTGTGTTTTTGAAACCACCCCTGAAACAGCCCCACTCTTTTTGGGTATCATGTCAACCCCTCACTCAGAAAAAATGATAATCAGTATTTACCATGGCAAACTGCTCAACAACTACCTAACTGAAGAAGTGGGTATTTGGAGCGGACAGGGGTAGGGATATTGCCCCAAATTGATGGTTGGCGAGTTCCCTCTTATGGCTACCTGGAGTCTCCTTCTGACCGTAAAATGGTTGGTCAGACTCCAACCAAAATTAGGGGGTCATGACCCCGAATTGGGTCAGAGGGTCATGACCGGAGACTCCAAGTGGAGAGCTTCACCATCTCCCAGCGAATCCCAGCGAATCCCCGCCTGGAGATTTTCTTGTTCAGTCTGCGTGCCCGCAAGTTAGACATGGCAAGCCGCGACGCGACTTTCGGCTCCGCGAGGCCCCGCCGTTTCAAACGGCGGAGCTCCGCGGCTCGAGATCGCAAGCTTGAGCCCTGGCGAAGCAACATGTGAACGCCCCGTTTTCTTTAGCCAGCATGTTGCCAGTTAAGAAGGGGGGGGTAAGGGAAACCAGGGAAACCTCCTAGAGATCCAAGTTGCGGCCGTTTTTTTCAGTCACTGCTGCGATCGGTTTTCGGGGAAAAGTGGATGGGAAAAAGCGATCGCAACTGGCGATCCAGGCCGTTCTCTTCAGCATGTTGCCCTAGTCCAATTCGAAAGTGCTTGTCTGGATCCTTGATTCGCCATAGCAAGTGGCTCGCATGGGATATAACCCGACTGGGTGAACTCATCCCGCAGGCGAAGTGGGCTACCTATGGGTATCCACCTGCAGGTTCGGAATCACAAATTCTTGCAAAGCTGTTTCCCAAACCACCACCAATGGTTGGCCATTGCCCAAAATTAAGGGGTCATGACCCCTTTTTCTAGGGGTCAGAAGGAGACTCCAGGCAGAACCTAGGATAAAAAATAAGGTTTGACGGGAAACGGATTGATCCACCGGCGGGCCCCTGAAACTTACACCTCAGACAGGAGCTCACTGAATCCCCAAGAGTTTGAGGGACCAGGTACTTTTTTGGGGGCTGGTTTGGAGGGAACCAACAGGAAAACCCCTTATGTTGGACACATACTTCTTTTGGAGTACACCACTCCAATGGACAGTCCAATACTTTTGCACACGACCTTCGCACGTGCGCAGCAACAGAACGCTTGGACCATTCAACGGCTTTGCTGGTTCTCCAAATGAAGAGCCCCAGCTCCTCAAAAGCAACTTGTTTGCGGACCCCAACAGGGACCCTTCGAGTGATCAAATTGGTGAAACATGCGGGAACTATGCACGCCACACCCGGAGGATGCGGGCCATCATACCCCTCTAATGTTGACCCCGGACTAATAAACCCCTGTTTGTTAATATGGGGGTACTTGGGGGGACCTAGATAATAAACAGGGGGTTTATTCATCCGGGGTCAAATCACCCAACACCAACTTCCTTCAGGGTATGATGGGGTATGATGTTGATCCTTGACCACAAAAAGGCGAGCATTTGCCTGGGAAAACCGACCGGCCTTCCAAAAAGGCCCACACACCAAAAGCGGGCCGAGAAAAAACCACTCTTCAAGGCCAGGCTAGAGGCCGCCCGGACTCAATGCATCACCAGCTTCTCTTGCACCTCACTGCTGTCTCCGCCACATTCCAGATCCCCCCAAGTCACAAGAGCCCCGGATGCCAGAAAGGCCGCAAAAGCCGCCTTGGTTCCTTGGATTTGCTGCACATTCCGCAGCTTGTCTTGCACCGCGCGGCAGTCTCCCCCGTAAAGTGGATTGCCCCACGTCACTACATCCCCAGATTCCAAAATGGCTGCAAATGCTCCGCCAGTCGCCTGGAGTTCCTTGACACTTCTCAGCTTCACTTGCACCTGGCTGCAGTCTCCACCGCGATCTGGATCACCCCATGTCACAACAGCTCCTGATTCTAGAATGGCGGCAAAAGCCGCCTCAGTTCCTTGGATTTGCTGCACATTCCGCAGCTGGTCTTGCACCTGGCTGCTGTCTCCGCCCCTGTCTGGATAACCCCAGGTCACAACATCCCCAGATTCCAAAATAGCAGCAAAAGCAAAACAAGTTGCTTGGACTTTCTGGACATTTCTCAGCTGCTCTTGCACCCGCCTGCTGTCTCCTCCGCATTCTGAATGACCCCATGTCACAACATCCCCAGAATCCAGAATGGCAGCGAACGCACCGTCAGTCGCCTGGATTTGCCGCGCATTCCTCAGTCCGGCTTCCGCGAACAAATCGCCGCCATAAAATTGATGGCCCCAGGTCACTACATCCCCAGATTGCAAAATAGCAGCAACAGCACGATTTGTTGCTTGGATTTGGTGCAAATTCCACAGCTGGCTGAAGTCCCCACCACAACGAGAATCACCCCAGATCCCAACTGCCCCAGACTCCAGAATGGCAGCAAAAGCCAAGCGAGTTGCTTGTACTTGCTGGACGTTCTTCAGCTGCGCTTGCACCCTGCTGCTGTCGCCGCCGCGGTCTGGGTAACCCCATGTTACAACAGCCCCTGATTCCAGAATGGCAGCAAACGCACCATCAGTCGCTTGGATTTGCTGCACATTCCGCAGCTGCTCTTGCACTTGGCTGCTGTCTCCACCGTGCTCTGGATTGCCCCATGTCAACACCAGTCCTTGGACATGCAAAGCAAACGCCTTTGCAGTGGCAGCTAGCGTCACCGGCTGAACCACCGCATCCACGGTGTCCCCATCTCGCAAGCCAGCCTGGCTCAAGGTGACCGTTAAATCCAGCGGCCGGCGGTTCACGATGAGCCTCAGGCTGCCGCGCTGGAAATGCCGCTGAGCTGCAGCCTTCAGCGCGCTGAGACGCGTCTCTGGTGAGAGTGAGGTCGAGAAACCGCTGCCGCTGGGCAAGTGGACGACTAGTCGCATGACTAGGAGCCGAGGGAATGCAGCCTGAGCAAAAACTTGAAGCAAACAGTCCAAGAAGGCAATCTGCCACTGGCTTAAAGGGCTCATCAAACGCCCGTTGCCCGGCGGGCAAAAAAAGACAGGCAAACCTTGTATTTGAGTCTTGCCTTTTCAACAGGCAAGACTCAAATAGAAGGTGTGCCTGTTTTGTTTTCTTGCCCGGGCAACGGGAGCGTTTGAGTCTTGCCTTTTTAGAAGGAACCATTCTCTGCCCCCCTTCTTTTAAAGGAAGGGCATGGGCCAGGGGAAGTGGACTCTGGTTACCGCGTGTCGTTTGGGCCATTGCCATCCTTGACTTGGTTTGTCCGCCACCAAGGTCACCCCTGTAGAGTAGCTTGAGGGGCCAGGTAATTAAACGGATCCCTTCTATACAGGTTTGGATCTGGGAGAAAACCCCTGGTTCGTTGAGAGGAAGCGCCTAACCTCCAAACCACAACTGGGAAGCTGATACGGGTCATGACCCCTCCAACGTCCCACAAGGGGCCCAATGGAGCACGGGGGTTTTACGGACGACACTAAACCCTTCAATGCAGGGTATGAGATCTGATGCTCAGGGCGACACCAAGGTGAGTAACAGGCTGTGGGATACTGTGGCGCCAAATTACAAAGTAAGTCGTACTGATGAGACATTAGCCGAGACATACAACACACTTGCCCTAAGGCCGACTTTTCTGTTGCTTCCTCAAAAAAAGATGTTTTTATCCCACGCATCAACCGGGCTCTCCAAAATGCCCTTTGTGAGCTTCAACAGTCCTGCATAATTCAAACGGATCTCAAAACCCTCAAGATTCCCTCAAAAATTGTTTTTTTAGCCCCAACATGATGGGGTAAAGTCCTTTGCTTTTCGGGCAGTTGGTAACCATGTTTTTTTGGGGGAAACCAGTTGAAGAACCTCCCATTTCGGTGGGTATCGACCTACGTAAAGGTTCCCATCGCCCGGCTTTCCCCTTCCAGACCGCGGCGCTCGCCAGGCTGCGCTCCTGCGCCGTCGGCCCGAAGAAAAATCCGTCCGGCTGGGAGAAACACGTCGTATTCTCCCCAACCCGTCACCAAAAACCGGTACCTGGAGTCTCCTTCTGACCCCTAGAAAAAAGGGTCATGACACCTTCATTTTGGAGAATGACCAACCATTTTTTAGGGCTCATGGAGACTCCAGGTACACTTAACTGGTACGGAAATATGGGAACTTCAACCAGTTGAGACCCCCAAGCCGGCATTTGGTGCAACCAGTTTAGAACACAGCTTGAGAAGGAATGAGAAAAAAAAAGGAGAGTATGATCTATGCATTGCACGGTCCCAAATAGCTTGGGTAAATCCAAAGAAATGGAATTCATTGGACCCTTTGAGTTCCAAGCTGCATGGCTTCGTTTCGGATGCTGCACAGATACGCTTGTCCTGAGTGATCGATCCGAATTTTCCCGAACTTAGCACGACAAAGTGGGCGAATGGGTGCTCAAAATCAAACGATCGGGGGGGCAAACCGCAGGTTTTGGTCCATGTTTCCACTTACCAGGGTTCGCAAGCCATTTTGGAATTCCGGCTTTTTGAGCAACGGCCAAATAGGTTGTACCTGAACCCAAACTACCCAAAGGAAACTCGAGATATGTTTCGGGCTATAACCCATTTTGTAAGGGATATTTTGAGGGTCCAGGTGGCAAATCCTTAGACTTCGCCAAGTTCGTAAGTGGATCGCCAAAGGGCTGAGTTGACCCCACAGGAAGCCCATCAGTGGGTTAAGTCTCCATGACCCCTAGAAAAGGGGGTCATGACCCCTTAATTTTGGGAAAGGACCAACCATTTTTTAAGGGTCATGGACTCTAGGCACCCAGCTCCCGGCGTCGATTGATTTCGGGCCCGATGTCGCCGCCAGGTTTTGAGACCCTCAAACACCGGGGCCTTCGTTCGGCCCCGGAGGGGTCGTCCAATTGAAAGCCGAGCGGAGCCTCTGGCTTTACGAACTTACCGTCACAGCGAACTTCGCCGAAGATCCAAGTCAAAACCCGGATTGCTCCCTTAACAGAAACGATTCGGTCGCACCAAAAAACAAAAAGGACCATGTTCCGCCTTTGGGAGTAACCTGGACCCTCAAAATGCCAAATAAGAAATCGGTTGCCCGAAAACTATGGATGGTGAATTCCCTTTTAGATGGATATTTTGAGGGTCCAAGTAGAAATAAAGGGTTCGCCTTTTGGGACCTCCAATACAAGTGGTCGCCCAAAAAGGAATTCCAAAAGGTTAAAGGGTGGGTTTGGAACAGCTGCCCCCCCAAAACAGAATACCGACAAAAACCTGTCTGTCCAGGCTCGGCTTTCTGGGAAAGCTGCTTTTTTACTTTGACAACCCATTCCCCCCTCCAACAAAAATCAGAACAAAGCCGAGGAAAGAAACTACCTGGACCAGCTCAACTAATGGTTGATATCGCAACACAAAATAATGGGTGGTGAATCCAAGATGTTTATGTTGCTAGTTTAGGGTCTAGGTACCCCGCCGACGACTTGAGGCTCGGCTCCATGTTTTTTTTTTCTTTTTTTTTTCTTTTTTTTTTTCTGGTGTTCCAATTTGTTTGAGGCTCGGCACCCCTCTTTTGCTGATAACGAGAAACCCAAAGGACCACCAGAGGGTCTGGCTCAAAGCCAAACCTCCCGTAACCCACCCCAAGGGGGACCAGCCACCCATTTTTCGGCTCGAAACACCTAGGTAGCCACCCAGTTCAAACAGGTGTCGAACAAAACATACTGGCAACTTCCCGCGAGTGGAAAGCAAACTAAGAAAAGGCCAAGGTCAAACACTAAAGGCAACAAATGTGATATCCCTGGCGCCAATGTCACATTCTTCGGAGAAAAACACACCTAAACAACCGTCGCAGAGATGCGTGTTTCTGGGACACTTGATGGTTTTGGGGTTTGGAACTTTCTGAGCTCGACAGTTCCCACCGCTAGGAACTGTTCGACCAAACATCACCTAGATAGCCAAGTTGCGATCGCTGCTTTTGTTTCCGTCACTGTAGCGCGATCGGTTTTTAAGGGGTTTCAGGAGTGCATGGAACAAAACAAAACTGGATCGATCCAGGTGGATCCTCAAATTGCCCAAACAAATCCAAGGATTTGTTTACCCCATCATGTTGGGGCTATAGCCCGTTTTTCAGGAATTGTTGAGGGCTCGATAAAGTACTGAGGGACCTGCGGCAAAGTACTGAGACAAAGCCCGGCGCCTTAGGCTCTCTGAGCTGCACTGTCCAGGCCTGCGAGAGCTTGCGAGCTCTTCCGGTCGAAGCTTTTGGCGCGTGACATCTTGGGTGCCGATGGGACCCTCAAGATGCCAACTGAAAGATGGGTGATTGCAACCCAAAACCAGCGGGCAAATTCGCGTTTTGAGTGGTAGTTTGAGGGTGCACCTTGAAATTCAAGGGGATTCAACCCATCATTTCTTGGGTGCAATCTCCTGAACCCAAAAAATCATATGCAACTTGAAACTGGGGTTTTCAAACACCCAAGCATATGGAATGGCCAGGCGTCCCCTTTTTGGGGTGTTTCATGTGCTCGCCGTGACAGGTCCAGGTCCCCACATTTGAGTGTGTTTTTTCTCTAGGCATCGACCCACCAAACAAATGTGGTGTCGACTTGTGGTTTCCCTTCAACACCACAAACAAAAAACACCCTCAAAAAATACACATGTAGTCAAATCCTAAAAACAAATCTGAAAAGGGTAACCCAACAAACATCAAGGCACCTGGATGTTCCCAGGTTCTAAACCTGGATAGAAATGCCCGGCCCCCGGCTACCAGTTGTCACCTTGACCCATCATAACCTATTTGGCCCTCAGCCCAATGGATTTCGGGACGGGGCACCCTTGCTTTGGTTGGTTGAGTCTAAAAGGAATCGGAACTCCCCCCAAAAAAGTTGGAACAACAAGCAACCCACGGCTTAGGCAACTGAGCACCTGACGCATATCCAAGGCTTTGGCTGCTCCAGAATTTATGTCTGGCGCCACCATGTACTTGGATCTTCGCCGAAAGTTACGTCTCCAACGACGCCTGGAAGCTCTTTTTGTTTTAACAAATGGCTGGGACCTAATGAGTCGACGTACTAAGTGCGTGGACCCGAAAGAACTACCCAGAAAAATGGGGGGGTGTTCACCAATTCCATAACCTTGGGTCAGAACATGAAACACCCCAAAAGGGTAGCTGGACCCTCAAAATACCCTAAAGAATCGGATTTCACCCAACCTTTGGGTTGCTATACCCCCGTAAGCTCCAAATACCCGGCCTTTTTTTAGAGTATGTTTTGCAAAACCTGGGTTTTCATGGTAAATACCTCCTTTTTTAGTAGAGGGTCGACATCATACCCTAAAAAAAGAGGGCATTTGGAGCAGGGGGTAACCCATTTGTAAGTTGGAATTTGTGAGGGTTCAGCTGGATGTTATCCGACCGGTTGCCCCTACAACTTACTCACGCGAATGGAGGATCCATCCGATCGCCCGGATCCGTCAACCATTCGAGGCCCTAACTGCACTCATCTCATCTCATCCTTCATCTATTCTTCCATTTGCTTGAGGCCCCTTAAAAAACAAAAAAAAAAACAAAAACACATATGTCCAGTAGTTATCACTTCCAACTTTAAAAAGAACAGGGCAAACAGACATTTCAGCAAAGAGAGGCAAATCCTAAGCTGAAGATGGGACATTCTTCTACCTGCACCCTCAAACTCTCCATGCAAATGGGTTATTGCCCCACAATTCTGGGTTAGACTCCCATAAATTGTATTGGTAGTGTGAGGGTCCAGGTATATCCATGCCTTACACCGCTTCATCTCAGAATTATTGATGGCTTTGTGGACAAGGGATGAAGGGAATGATGGGACATGTCTCTCCTCTCCATCCTCTTCTCTAGAGACGGAGGGAACTTCTTGGATAGTGAGTGTCTTTTGTCCATCAAACGATCGAGTTGGGAAAGCCAGGAACAGTGACCCATGAAACGGGCGATTGGCCCGGCATTGTGGGCGAGTTCCATTTTTTGGGGGTATAGTTTGAGGTTCCAGCCAACCGTCTTTGACTTTCCCCGTGATTCTTGCCTGCATAGATAGCCAAAGGAACCCTTTAAGAATCAAAAAGGAAATTGGCTGGACACCTATTGTAGTGCCATCTCAGATGCCCAGCCATGGGGGGAAAAATATGGCGCCCTTTTCCTGTTGCTTGAGTTTAAAGGAATCGGAACCCTTCCGCCAAAAAAAAGCTTCAAACAAGGAAGCCAATGGGTCGACGTCTTTTTCAGGGAACCCCCCCCCAAAAAAAAAGAAGAAGAACAGAGGCAAGGCGTGGCTTTCCTTTTGGTGTTCTCTTCAACCCACCAAAATTGGGGGTACCCTCCAAAAGGGACAAGCCCCATATTCCCCTTAGCACCAGAGTGAACTCGCCCTCAGAAACCGAACCGGGGGCCCGATCCCATTCAAAGGCTCCAACCGGGTCTCCATTCGGTTTTGGGTCCTCCAGATTTGAGAGCTTAGAATCCGTTAGAATCTGTTGGTTCCGTCTTCTTTTCTGTAGTCTGTTTTAGGGGAACAATGTCTCCCCCCAAGAAGAAACGGTAAAAGTTGGCACCTAGCTGGGGGATCTAGGGAAGGCAGTAGACCTCAAAAAAAGGCCGCTTTGAGATGGCCCGTGACCGATGCTTATCTCGGTTGCTTTCTGCTCCCCTGCTAAAAGTGAACAACTTTTAGTGGTTTAATACGGAAAATCCAAATTCGTTGGCAAAAAGTGATTCAGTCCTAGCATCCCTTGGCAAAATGCTCCAAAGTTATGGCCAAGCGTAGATTGCCCTGGTAGTTGATTGAACCACCAGGTGAACCAGGAATCGCCCTCTATTTTTGTTCAACCAAATCAACCAAAAAGGACACCTTATGATTAGAGTTAGGCCCAGTTATAGAATGTATACTTTATTGTTTGCTTCACTTTGAGTCACTGGTAAAATGTAAAATGTATCCTAAGTCTACCCCAGACCTATGCCATGGCAGCAAAGCAGAGACTTCGTACGGCCCAAACAACTCCTTCAACTCTGCTCGCCTCCTCACAGGCGCGGGCAAAGCGGGCCGTCTTGTTGGTGATCTTCTTCAGAGCGATTCCTGGAGCACTAAGGCTCCATGTGACACCCTAGGAGGCCTTTGGCTTCGAAGAAATCGCCAAAGGCCCAAAGGCGGAAAGGCGGATCCTCGGGCGATGATTTTTTAATGGCAACCAAACCCGGTGTTGTACCCTGGTCCGTTTCGATTGATTTTGGGCAAATCCTCAAAATGGGTTGGTTTTTGAGGGTCCTTGAGGAATTGGTCGCTTTGGGTTCTGCATTGGAGGGTCCGGGGGTCTGCATTGGAGGCCTTGGAGAGGAATAATCACCCCCCCCACCCCGGAGCGGACCCCCAAAGACAAAACACCCTCTAGTGCTATCTTCCATTTCCATTCTTTCCAGGGATCCGAATGGGAAAACGGCCAGTTTTGGGAAAGGACGATGGTTGAAAAGAATGGGGAATCAACCCCTAGAACCCCCTAAAACACTTACAAACAAATGTTACTTTACCGCTAAGATGGTCCGCAAAAAGTGACTCACTTGTCCGAAACGAAACGGAGCTCGAGCTGGAGTGAGTGGGCAAACATCTGACAGGAGTGATTTGCCCCGGGCTGTTGACACTGGCATGATTGTTTAATTCAAGCTGGATTCCTGAAAACTAATCTAAGGGTGGATGCTTCTCGCAGGACCCCTCGTTCTCTACCGATTTCGCAAACCAGTTGCAAGAGAAGGATTCCTGATGAAAGATGAAGGTACCTGGAGTCGCCACGCCCCCTAGGAAAAAAAAACATGACCCTTTAACTTTGGGTAGTGACCCCATTTCTAAAGGGTCATGGAGACTCCAGGTACGGCTACGACGGCTTGGCCAATCCGTTTCCAGTTGAAGGTGCGGCATCCTATCTGGGGAAGCTTCACTTTTGCGGATACCCCTCCCCCAGACTAACAAAACTGCCATCCTAAACCCTCAATCTAAGAAACTTTGGTTGTCTTGTGCCAAGATGAAATTACCAACCATCACTCGTGTGCCACAAATATGAAACCAGGTTTAAATTGGTATTTGAGGGTCCAAGATGATTCATCCTGGTCGACATTTGCGCCTTTTCCAAGGGTTGGTAATCAGTGAATGTGGGAATGAACCCAGGAAGACGCACAGGATGGTTTAATACCCAACCATCATTGGGCCCTGCATTGAACAGCTCCAGGTCTCCATTGGAAGGTTTTGGAGCTCAACCAAGGCCGTTTTGAGGGCCCGTGACCGATGCTTGAGGTAGGGTCAGTCCATTTCTCATTCCCTGCATCTCTCGCAGCCGCCAGAAAAAGAAAAAACAAACAAAAAAGCATTCCCCGTCCTGAACTCTGTGTCAGGAGGCAGTAGCTGGGCCTCGGCCGCTGGCAACTGGGACCTCAAGATGCCAACTTACAAATGGACTGAGGTGCAGCACAGAATTCTGGTTGGTGACTTCCCATTTTTCCTCAACAGCTCAAATCTTTGTGGTCTCAGCCCAGATAGGCTCCGGGGTGTTTCGGGGCGGCCCTGAGGTAAGGTTCCACGAGGGTTCCACGAGGCTCTGCGAGGGCTGCGGGGTGGTGTGAGCACTAAAAAGAGCACTGCATGCTTTTGGGGTTCTCACCTGAGCCTATTCAGTTTTGAGAGTCCAGGTCCATTCAAATTGGGAAACGTTAAAAACTCCACACTGGATTGGCTTGAAAATGTCCGAAGCAAAACAGGAAATGGCATGATCCGTCCTGTCCGACAGGAGCTCAACTTACGAATGGGTGATTGCAACTCGATTTATGGTTGGCAGTTTGAAAGACTTTACCCACAGGCTGGGGCTTCCAATGAAAGACCCCTCGACCCCTCCATTGGATACCCCGCTAACCGGGGGGCAAAACCTGGTGGTTTAAGGGCCCAAAATTCCCAATCGAAGCCGGGAGCCTCGTAGAGTCCATCTGGAGTCTCCTTCTGACCCCTAGAAAAAAGGAAAGTCAGACTCCCCCAACATTTTTTCATTCGGGTCATTTCTATGGGGTCAGATCACTACCCAAAACTAAGATTCGGGTCATGACCCCTTCTTTTAAAAGTCAGAAGGAGACTCCAGGTAGAGTCCAAGGATGGCTTGGGCTTTTCCGAGTTTGCGACAAGTCCTCGCGCACGAACTGCTTCAGGTACCGCTCGAAGTTCGTCACTTCCCAGAGCTCCAGGACCCTTCCGCGAACAGAGAGAGGCCATGGCGAGTAAAGCAGCTCAAACTGCCGCGTAAAAAAACAAGAAGAAAAAGCTATTGCAACCAAAACTATTGAGTGAATTCCCTTCCCAAGGGTAGTTGGAGGGTCCAGCTTTGTAGGGAACTTGAGTTCAAGAGCCTGTCTAAAAGCCCAAGATGCAGGGTGGGCAATTATTGTTTAAATGTACCTGGAGTCTCCTTCTGACCCCTAGAAAAGGGGGTCATGACCCCCGAATTTTTGGAACGGACCCCATTTTTTCAGGGTCATGGAGACTCTAGGTCGATACAACGATCACATCTATAGTAAAGGGTTTTTTCACGATACCAATCGCGGGCTTTGTGGGGCGTAGTTGGTTTCAAGGGTGTGACGGAATGGGCCGATGGATCGACTACGGAGGGTCCTTCCGGTTCGATGCTTAGGGCTGGGTTTCAAACTGCCCGGCTTTTCCCAATGAAACCTACAAGCAAACGGGGGGAAAACAGGGACCTCCCTCGGAGGGTGTTTGGACGAGAAAACAGCACCCCGGAAGCCTCCAGTTGAACTAAAGCCCCCTTGAAAAAAATACCATGTCCAGTAGTGACACATTACCCTAAAAACCAACAGGGCAACACAAACCATATTCTTAACCAAATAGAAGAAATTTGGGCAAGAAGTTGACCCTCAAAATCACCGTGCCAAGGGTGGACCCTATTTTCAACTTGGCCCATGGCCAATGTCTACCAAATCAAAGGGGCAAAGTTCATTGTAAGCAATGGAAGGCTGCAGTTCACAAAACCTCGCACATGAGGAATATTCAAAACCTGCATTGTATCAAATTGATTTACCCTTACTCCCACTAACATGGCACCTGTGGGTAGGCACCTGGAAGATAATTTTCCTCTTGGAAGAACCCCCTGTGAGGTGCCATGTTAGGAGAGAGGGTACCCAGAACCATGTTATCAGTATTGAAAAGGCGGATATCCGCACCCATTTATGGCAAGGAACAAAAAGAACAAACAAAAGCATTTAAAAAATGAACTCACCAACCAGAAATGTGCAGCAAGTGACCCTGGGTTTGTTGTACTTTGAGGGTCCATCTCCCCGAATCGGTGTTGGACACGACCACTGACATGGCGTGGATGGGGCAAGTAAATCCCGCCTCATGACCCGTGGTCTCTTCGACAGCATCGGGATGCTCATCTTCCGATCCTGGCAGAATCTGAGGAATCGGTTTGGTTCGGAGTCTCTTGATTCTAGAGAAACCTTTGACGCTGCCGTGGACCCTCCATTCAAGGGGTCAGCCCAAGATTCTTGGGAGATTGCTAGCTGCAAGGTAGGTTAGCAAATTAAGTTGACTGGTCAGGTATGCCTCTCAGATACCGGAGCGGTGTGATGCCATTGCCAAGCGTCATTGTGATTGACAAGCTCCAACTATCGAGCATAATGCTGTCTGCCCCATACGCACTAATGATTCTTGGCGTGACTGACAGGCTCGTATGTCGTGTCCCTTGAATCAAAGTTCAGTTTTTGGATTTCCCAACTGGCTACTTGCATGTCTTTTTCTTCTTCCAACACATTGAACTTAGGGATCCCCAAATCAAAAAGGGCAACCACACGGTTTCGCTCGCTCCAGGTCTCCTCATCTACCCATATCCAAATTGGGCATATTGAGCGCCTCCGAAAACTTTCCTGATGGTCACTGAAATCTGGCAGTGGTTGATAAACGGCAGTGGAGCCCACTAAAAAAACGGAAGGGGTTGCAGTTGTACAGCTCCGATGCTTGCAAAACACTGCAACTAACATGTTTTGTTCTGCATGTGCTCTCTAAAACAAGGGGATTCGCCTCTTTGGTTTTGGAAGCTCCTTTATATGGCGAGTTTGGGGGTCCGGGAGTGCCTTTTTAGGCATCTGGGACCACTCTTGTGAATTCTTTGGTTCTGGTTCCACAGGTCAGTGGAATGACAAATCGAAGTGAAGCATCATCTTGGGTTGCAACCCTTGGAATGTCGAGACTCGGTATGCGATTTGTCCTAGCGTAAGAGCCAGCGAAGAGTTGCGGCTTGGCAGCTCAACAGGCCTTTGAAGGCACACGGATCGGAGACTTGGGACTGAAAAAACAATGAGACCGTGAGATGGCATTGGGTCAGCTTGAAGCAACCCAGGAACAACCCTGAAACGGACAGCTTCAAGAAAAAGCTGGTTGCTGTTAAAAGGGAAACCAAACAAGGACACCAATCATTTTGGGGGGCGCTCCCCCACTGACTTCCTGAGTGGATTGCAATAAAGAAGGTCGAAATTTGTTGTTTACCACTAAAATGGTCCAAACCCAATATCAACTCAAGGAGTGACCCATTTGGGTGTGGTTGTCAAAACCAATGGGATCCCATTTTGGGGTAGGTGAATTCACCACCCATTTTAGTCGGGATTTTAGTGGGGATTGGGATGTTCACTGGGGGTAGGTTTGACCCGTAGCCATTTTAAGACGTAATCAACACCTTGTACAAAAATGGTGAACCTAGGACCATGTTCTCAGAATAAAGAAGGCGGATATCCGCGTGTCCCTTCACCTTCCCTTACCCGAATCGGTTATCAGGACATGGCCCATTTTAAGACAAACCCCAAACCCTCAAACTTTCAACTTAAAAATTGGAGTTCTAGCCTATGGTTGGTGATTTCTCAAACTTTTTGATGGCTAGCTCGTTCTTTCGGGTCCAACCCCCAACACTGTTCACTTGAGTCACAATCAACTTGGTACAAACATGGTGCACGCAGAACCATGCTTCAAGAACTAAGAAGGCGGATATCCGCAGCTATTTATGGCAAGGGGATCGTCCCTAACCTTCATCTACCCAGGTTTTGAGCACGTGGCTCAGTTTTTGCTTGAAGTTTTCCATGGCGACCAGACCGTGACTAAAGTCCAACTCGGTTTTGAGGACGTGGCTCACTTGAATTCCACTCGGTTCGGACTCGCCTTGGTCTGTCGGAGTTCTCGGACCACCGCTCGGCCCAGACCGCAGAGGTCGAAGTCCAAGTCTGGGCAACAGACGCCATCGCCTTCTGGTGGGACTCCCCCAGTGAGTCCACCCTTTAAAAACAAGGGCCCTACAAAACCAGTGGAATTTACCGAATTCAAACAAAGTTCCACAGTGAAAACAAGAGGACATACATCATTCGATCCTTTAGGTGAATCCTCAAGTTTCAACTAAAAATTGGGTGATGGCAATCATGGAATTTGCCAACTATTTCCTGTAGTTTATTTTGGTAGGGGAACCCTCCTAACCAAAAAAGAAGTGGGTGAGAAAGGACACCAATTGCTGGGGGACCTAGTTTAGCTGAGCTCCCCGCCATCTTCCTCCTCCTCGATCTCCGCAAAGGGCTCCTCCGCCGACAACTTCTCTAACCTCGCAGACTTTGTTCGAGCTTCTGCGTCGGAGACCCAGCCACAGCAGACTTGCCCTGGATGGACCGAGCCTCAAACAAATCCAACTTGAACATGTGGTGACTTGCAACCCCCAAATTGTGGAATGGGTGAATGAACCAACCTTTTTCAGGGGTTTCAGGGTTCAGGATGTGGCTTTGGATCTTGCGTGATGGTGTTCCCTGGTTGCCTAGGTCCCTTGTCCCTTGAAACAAGCCTTTGGGGAATTCCAGAGCCAAGGGGGCAAACCATTTGTTCAGGAGCCTGACTTCCTTCATGCATGAGTGCCATTCCCAGAGAACCCATAGAACCTTTTGGACCGACAGCCGACAGTGACAAGGGCCGTTTCCATTCCTTCAGAACCAGTGGGCCAATCACCTTAAGGCACTTCCCTCTGAACCTTCTCCACTTTTAGACACCAAAACAACCCTGAGACGGAAAAACATGAACAACTGAAGGCTGAAAAGTCGGGGTGTCTATGGGTTCTCCAGTGGAGAAAGGGTAGAGGTGACCCTTAGGGCAACCAGTCGGTTCCTACCTCCTATAGCTGCCACATACAGACGAGCATCGTGCGCAGACTCTCATAAAAAGGGCCGCTTTTGGTGGTTTCCAAAGCCACCCTCAAATTGCCCTCAAACGTTGCCTGCAACTTTCTGGGGAATCAGCTCGAATTTTCCGAATTGGACCCACAGAAAGTGATTCACTTTTGGCAGAGGGGTCAACGAAATTATGGTTGGTGACATCCCTTTCAAGTGTCGGGTGAGGGCGGAACAGTTCGACCCCTTCAATGCCAGACGATCCGACTGCAGTCGTAATATATACCAACAAAAACATTGCCCATGTGGAGGCTAAATGTGAGTACATCTTGCCACAATTACATGGATTGGCTGGGAATGGAGGCTAAATTGGTTTAAACACAAGTATTGCCATCATTACATGGATTGTTTTGGGAATGGAGGTCACACTCCTGACCAAAATGTTCCCTTGCTGATGCTCCACCCTAAGCATCTTGGGCCCTCAAAACGGCCCTTTTTGAGGTCACAATGGAGACCCTGACCCCTTCAATGGAGGGCCCAATGATGGTTAGGGCAAGCATTCCCTTGCCGAGGGCTTCCGCGCAGCTCCGCCCAAAAATTCCGCCCCGCGGCCTCCGCTTGAGGCCGCGCTTGGCCGAGGCGTCCACCACTTGCGCCTGGACGGATCGGATCGGAGCGGTTCGACGAGGTCCTCCAGATTTGAGAGGTTAGGGTTTGGTCTATTCTAGGGATAGGGTTAGGGTTTAGTTGGCACCCACGTTTTGCTCAGTCTATTTTAGGAAAACCAAAGCCCAACCAAAAAAAGTTGGTGAGAAAGGGCACTACTGGCGACGGCCCCCACATGTGTCTCACCTGGAACACAAACACGTGCCGTGCAATTGAAGCACACATGTGTGTACACGAGGTGGACGGGGTGGGGTTGACGGGGCTCCCTGCAACATGACCTGAAAAACTGCAAGCAGATGTTGGACCTTGGCTCAATGTTTTGAACGGCTTCCACCATGACTGTAACCACATGCCCCCCCCCCCCCCGAGCCCCCCGTGGACGCACGCGCATGCAAATGATCCCTCAAACTTGGCAAGATATCAGCGTGGCCAAATTCACTGGTATTTACGCGCCCTCACGGGGGCGTACCAACAACAACACAATTAGCTACATCTTCTACATACTGGTCTCCCAAACCTCCGCGTGGCAAAAGCTGTTCCATTTCTTTTTCGCTCGCGCCTCATCCTCCTGCAGCCCGGCGCGAGCTACTCGCAGCACCCCGCACTTCGGGGTGGGCCCGCCCCCGGTGTAGCCCATCTGCACCTCGCGACAAGGCCTTTGAAAACCCAGCCCGCCCAACACGAGCCCAAGAAGGCCCTTGTCCGGATGAATAAACCCCGGTGAATACCTGGAGTCTCCGGTCATCACCCCTAGAAAGCGAGGTCATGACCCGTTTGGAGAATGACCAACCATTTTTAAGGGTCATGGAGACTCTAGGTAAACCCTTTGATGAATGTGGGCCATTTCTGGGATTTGGGATTTGTCACTTACTTAAAAGGGGAACACCCCAGAATAGACTGGGGTTATTAAATTCATCCGGGGTCAGCATTGCACACCCCCAAAAGCCCCTCGGACCCTCATATTTGAAGGGCTTCGCAAATAATAAGGTCCTGGGACCCTACACCCCAGGTTTTTTCCAACAACTACCAACCAACAAAGGGCAACGGGTGGTTGGAGCTGGGTGACGCCCCCTTACAACTTGGGAACTGTGGGGTACACCAATCAGGCGCTCAATAAGACGCGTCCAGGGCCAAAGCGACGAGTCTCTTTGCGGTGTGTCATACTTCATACACCCCCTCTAAATACAAGATCCATTCTTGCTCGTGTATGATGTGGACCTGTTTCCAAAAAGTGATGTGTTTACCCTAGAAAACAAGGTTTGCCAAACTCTACTCTTATGAATTGGGGTATTTGGAATAGGCGGGCACCCTAAACAAATGATGGGCAGGCCCCAATTGAAGCAAGTCATGCGCTAACTGATTGTTACTCGCTATGAGTAATGAGACTTGCCATGAAAGAACAAGGCTGCCCCACTAGCACGGCTCCCTAAAGATGCATCAAAGATAAGACGTCTCAAAACTAGGCCCCTTGCCCAATCAAATGGGGGACTTGTTGCTGGCCTCCATTTTAATTCCAGTGGGGTTCCCCAAAACAACAACCCCAAGTGTTGCTATTGGACCACCTTTTCTGGGTCACCCCAATGCAGAAGTGGAGAACCCACAACGAAGGGACCGAATGGGACTGATCCCATCGATTTTGGGGAAAACGGACCTTAAACGAAACTGGCAGCTGCTACTTGGGTGCCAAGCTAGTAATAAGTTCTTGGTAACCTATCCCGCTTCTGTGCCGCCGTCCAGTGGACATAACCCTGTCAGTGGATTAACCGAGGTGGCTAACAACTTACTCACTTGGCCGAACATCCAAGCAAGCGTGAGAAAATAGTGGATACGCCCCTGGAAGAAATGAAAACATACTTCCACCTGATCGATTCCAACTTGACCCGGACCCTCAAGATTCCAACTTAGAAAATCGTCTGCAGCCCAAAAGTGTGGTTGGTGAGTTCCTTCTGACTTTTCAATGGGTAGTTCTTCCGTGAGGAAAGTTTCCGAAAACGCCCGTGGAAGGCCAAGCTGCCAGCATGGAGTAGCCTCTGCCGTAGCTCGCCTGGACCGACATGGGGCTGAAATACCCAGCCGCCCCCTGAAATCAACACGTGCCTGTTCGGTTGATTCGCTTTGGGCAAGTGAGTGGTAATTACCCTAAACAGAAAGTCAAACTGGATCTGAAAGCACTACCTGGAGTCTCCTTCTGACCCTTTCAAAAAGGTTGGTCAGACTCCCCAAAATGAAGAAATGGGTCAGGACTCCTTCTTTCTAGGGGTCATGGAGACTCCAGGTGAGTCAAAACCGGTGGTGGGTTCTAGCCCCCCGGTACCGACCGCGAATGCACACCCATAGGCCCTCCAATGGAGAACCCCGACCAATTCCTCAAGGCCCTCAAAAACAACTAGTTTTGAGGGCCCAAAAACAGGCGGGCACCCTTAAGGGACATTTTGTTTGCTAAGTCCTACGGGCCTTCCGCGGTAAGTCGAAAACCTCACTCAGGAAGTTTCTCCGGCGAGTCTAGGCCCACCCCTCACCCGTAATCTCCGAATTCCCCACTGGTTTGAATTATGTGTGTTGTCTTTTTCTTCGAGTAGCCTCCAAATGCGTGTTTCTTGTTTGAGTTAGAGGGGTCATGACCCCTTCATTTTGGGTAATGCCCCCACTTTTGAAGGGTCATGGAGACTCTAGGTAACTCCAAAAGCTGAATTAATTAAGAATCGGATCCCCAAGAAAAGCACCTTACCTTGATCATGACTTTCGCTCGATATATCCCGAAGTGAGCTCGGTATATCAAAATGGTCAGAACCATGGTACTAAGTAGGCTAGCTAGGGTTGCTTCATGTTGCTTCGCTTAAAACATGAGTAAGCTGGAGTCTCCATGACTCCTAGAAAAAGGGGTCAGGACCCCTTCAGTTTGGGGAGTCTGACCAACCCAATTTTTCAAGGCTCAAAAGGACACTCTAAATACCCAGTGCTCCGAACTATGGCCACCCCACTCCGGCCTCCATTTGCTTAAGTCCCCTGGAAAAATGAGAAAATATGTCCAGTAGTCAACTTTAAAACCAAGCGGGGAACACAAACAAATATTCATTTCAGCAAATGGAAGTCATTTACCTGGGTTTGGACTTGGCTCCGAGTACAAGGTCGTTGGACCTTTTGTAGGGTCCAAGCTTGGTTGCTGTTGACCCCCCTGCAAAAAGTTTTCAACTTTTTGGGGGTTTAGTGGAAAACACCTTTATTTCAACCAAAAAGGTTAAATTCTAAAGATCAGTTGCCCAATAGAAAACCAGATGGAACCAGATGGAACCCAAAACTATGGGTTTAGAGAACCTACAGATCCATCTGGTCAAGTAAGGGCAAACCAAATGGAAGCGCCGCCACTCCGCCACTCCCAGCCCCCGACTCGGCGGCTCGGCGGCCTGGAGCTGCCGGGCCTTGAGCGGCGGCAGCTCGTCAAAGCGCGGCTTGGGCCGCAGGAGGCTGGTGAGAGCCTGGAGGCGAAGGGACCAATGCATGTGGATCCGTTGAGCTAGGAAAAGGGAAACCACGACTAGGTCGATATATATATATATATATGTTTTGTTTAATTGGATTTTTTTTTGTACCAAACAAAACATTCAAATATGGACTAATAAGTGGATCCATCGAGCTGGGCAAAGGGAAACCAGGGATGTGTTTCCTCGTCACGAGCCCTCCAATGCACACCCCATAAGGGGAACTTACTAACTTGGTGAATCGAAAAGCCAGGTGAGGGTCGGATTCGACTGTGTTTGGGTCCTCAAAACGCGCTATTAGCTTGTCCCACCCTTTTTCCAACGCATTGGGTCCCCTTGTCCATGTACTCAGTGACTCCATTTACCTATAGCCAAGGCAACCACCCTTTCAACACTAAATTCAACTTGGATGTTTTTCCCCTACCATGATAGGGGCCCAAGGCGAAATTGAAACCCTGTAAAGGTTGCCGGGTAACTTCCCCATTCTTTCCAGGGAGCCTTCTTTCTAGAAAGCCACCAAAAACCCTGGGGAAATGGCGATCGGTTTTTGAAAAGAACGACGGCTGCAAAGAATGGACAAGGAATCAACCCCTAGACTGAAGGCTGCTTCGGCTCTGTTTCGACCTGGTCGTGTCCTTTTCACTTTGCTTGGCCCCTTGAGGGGTCTGTTGTTGGCATCTTTGGACTGCCTATGCCAAAGGGAGTCTGCGGGTCAAGTTGCTGCAGGTTTCTGCAAGGGGCAATTGATTTGGCGAGCCGTGTATGTGGCTAGAAACCATGGTTTATCACAAAGCCAAGGTAAGTGTCCAGAATCAATGGGTTGTAGCCAGGGGTTTTAGCTGGGAGCTCCATTGGTTTGGGTCTGGATTTCCAAAGCGCTTGGACCCTCCACAAATTCAACTACCCGGAGTCTCCTTCTGACCAGTAGAAAAAGGGCTCCATTGCCCCGAATCTTAATTTTGGGGAGTCTGACCAACCACTTTTAAAGGGTCAGAAGGAAACTCCGCGTACCCTTGAAAAAGAGGATCTCCCAGATCTTTGGGTTGCAACTCACCACATGTTTAAGTTGGCATTTGGAGGCTCCGTCCAGGGGCCCGATTTTTTGAGAGCCCGTCTTAGGGATGCAGGGCTGAACCACTTCCTTACGTGGGGTATGGAGAGCCTTGGGACTTGACCCAAAGGTCAAAAGGGTTGTAGAGATCTACACATGTGCACCAGAACTCTCAAAATTATATCTTAAGAATTGGATATCTCCCCAGAATGATGGTTGGTGACATCCAAGTTGTTAAAAAATCACCTAGACTCTTGAAGAACCCTGGAAAATCATCGTCCCAACATCATGGGGTGGTTGAACAAGGGTGGTTTGAGGGTCCAGGAATATGTAAATTTATTTAAAAACAAAGGGGGGGAAAAAAGAAGACAGACATTTAAACATATTACACCAATGTATGCTTACACGCAGGAATGAACATAGAAACCACTGTTAAGAGCTTTGAACCTCAAACAAAAACGCCCCAGACTCCAAGATGCTTCGGGCACAGGCTTTCACAAGCGCTCGGCTGCTTTACGGGCTGCCTGCTCCTTGACGAACTCGATGGGCGCCTCCGACTCCTCCGACTCCTCCCACTCCTCGTTGAAAATGACCAAAACCCATCATTTCCCCTATTTGGTTGTGGGTCAAGACCTAAGGTGCCTTTTTGTGGATGGTTACCACTCCACTGTCTGTTTAGAAGGCTTTCTGGGTGTTCACCGGAGCACCGGGGTTTAGACCCATGGCCATTTGGGTGTCTTTTTCAAAGTTTGGACCCCCAAAACCCATCATTTCCCAATTATTTGGGTGGCTCGTCTTTTTCAAGTTTGGACCCCCACCACGGCGCGGTTTTCCTTTTGGTGTCCCTTTAAATCAAACCGCAAAAGGGTACCTGGAGTCTCCTTCTGACCCCTAGGAAAGGGGGTCATGACCCCTGAATTTTGGGTAATCACCAACCATTTTTTAAAGCTCTCGTACCCAAGAAGAAACAAAAAGACACGCCCTAGCGAAAAGTCCTGAGGAAAACTGACCCTATCTCTCGGAGACACCCCACGCACGGGCCCCGGTGTTTGGGATTCAAACCTGGGCCGGGTGTCTGTGTCATGAGTCGAGTGAGCCCAATCCGGGAATGTCAAGGGAACCTTCACCTGGAGTCTCCTTCTGACCCCTAGAAAAGAGGTCAGTCATGACCCCTTAATTCTGGATAATGACCCCATTTTAAAGGGTCATGGAGACTCTAGACACAGACGAAACTTAACATCATTTCAGGAGCCAAGAGCTACGTTTAGGGCTAATTTGAGGCCAACATCAAAACCTGCTATTAATGCAAAGAATCAAAAAGGTGGCGAAGGCTCAAACTACCAACTTAAAGGGGTGAGTTGCAACCCACAATTATGGTTGGCGAGTTCCCTATTTTATGGATCAAACAATCCTGAAACATGGGTTATTGCCCAAAGTTATGGTGTCACTTCCCTATTGTATGGGTACCTGGAGTCTCCTTCTGACCCCGAATGAAAAAGGGGCCATGACCCCATAATTTTGGGTAACGACCAACCATTTTTCAAGGGTCAGAAGGAGACTCCAGGTAGTTTGAGGCTCTGTCCAGGTCGTTTGACGCTCCTTCGGAGCACCTCGGGTTGGGACCAAGGGTCTAAAAGTTCGCCCCTTCGGTTTCCCACTTGGTGGTTTGGTTGCTAGTTCCCAAATCCCCAAGCCAATGCAAACCACCAATTAAAGGTAACTTGATTCTGAAGGGGCGGGAGATGGAGCCCGGTTCATACACATGTTGGGTCCCACGTCTGACGAGATCAAAGTGAATACGTGCAGTTGTCATGAGCCACATCCTCAAAACACGGGCAGATGAACGTTAAGGATAATCCCAGCCATGGGGCTGGGTCCGGGCAGCTAAGTCCCAGTGTCTTAACCTGTTGATCCAAAAATGTCAACTTCAGACACAATCATCAAAAGCGCAAGAAGGCTCATCAAGATCCCGAAGGCTCCATCTAGTTGTATGGACCTGCTTCCATTTGCGAATACGTGCCCTGGGGTAAAAAAACAACAGCAAAGAACAAACATACAGTAGAAGGTTGCCTGTAAACCCGACTGGGTAAAATAGAACATTCTCTTTCAGATGGGTTCCCACTATCCCTAACCCACTGGTTTCAAGGGAAAACGGGGCATGTACCACTTATGTAGTGATGATGTAGTGGCTGTATATCCCGTTCAATCCCTGGGGGGTCGTGGTTTGGGGGTCATCTTACATTCTCTCAAGCAAATGAAAGTCGATATGCGGGGCTGCCTCTCAGTTTGAGTTTGGATGCAAATCCAGCCACTTACGCATGTTGGCCTGGACTTGGTTTGGCTAGATTTGTTTTTTGTTTGGGCTGTTGGATTTTGGGTCTTGGGCTTTGCACGCCGGGTGGATGAGGGAATCGCTAAGGGGGGGGGGGTCCGCAAGGCCCCTAAGGAACCAGTTTCTGGAACTTTGAGGACTCGATGGTACCTACCCCTTGCTCTGTGTTTGGCCCAGTCAGGTTGTTGGTAACCTAGGCTACTTTACAAGCCTCAAGTCGAGTTAAACCTGGTCTTGGTGGGTAACCCAGGTGGCTTTGAATCGCCACGTACTAACTTGGCGAATCGAACATCCATGTGGGTCTGTTCTTTCTTGAGCCCCCTTTTGGGTGGATTGAAAGAGAAGCCAAAAGGAAGACCACGATTTGGGGACTCCAATCTTTAAAAAGACGCGTCACCCAGGTAGGGATTCCATCAGAGCCATAGGTGTCCTTTGGGGAAAATAGACGGATATCCCTGGAGATGAGAAAAAAACACCAGGTAAACCAGGAATCGCCCTCGATTTTTCTGGCGAAACAACCAAAAAGGACACCTATGATCGAAGCTCCCAACTCCTCCTCCATCGCTGCCTCTGGGTCCATTGCCCTCGCTCGGCTCACTCGACTCGGCTCACTGGGCTGAGCCAAAAACGCGCGCGGCCGCGCAACATCCACCCAGATTCAGGGGCTCGGGGGAGCGGGGGAGCGGGGGAGCGGGGATTTATTCACGTGAGCGGTGCATGATAAGGGGAGGGGGAGGGAGAGGCAGCCCAAATGGCTGGGGATCAAAACCCCGGTGCCCGCCTACCCTTTTAAAATTGACCAAACAAACAGGGGGGTGACCCAAAAAAGGCACCTGGGTTTTGACCACACCCAAATAAGTTCTCCAAAAATACCACCAAAAAAGTGGGTATGAGTAGGGAATGCAATGATTCAAAGCCGACTCACAGGAGCCATGGAAACCTCCAAATATGGTCTTCCCGCAAAGTGACTACAGGAACTCCGGTGAGTCAAGTCCCCCCTTCGTATTTGAGCCAGTGCTTTCGATTGCACGGCCATTTCAACGGCGTTTGTTCCAAAACGAAACCCCTGGAACCAAAGGGGAAGCACCCCGCGAGTTAGGCTTTGGGTAGAGTCTCCCTAAGGACCCTTTACAAACGGGGGTCAGACTCCCCAAAATTGAGGCTTCATAACATTTCATAACCCCTTTTTCTGGGGAACTCCAGGTACATTCATCCCGTCTACCCAAAGCTGGATTGAACACCCCGCTAACCGGTGTTTGGGGGTCTCAAAACCTGGCGGCTAAAGAGGGCCCTAAGGCCCTAAATGCATTGAATTGGAGCCTCTGGGTAGCAAGTTGGCAATTATGATCATACCGGGGTTTTGAGTTTTTTTCGGGCCAACGTGGAATCACCACATCTCCCAAACCCATACAGGTGACAGTCTTTTTCTTAAGTGACCCCCAAAATGGTTGGTGTCCTTTTGGCGTCGTTTTAAATCAATCCAAGTCACAAACTGAAGAACCATCGAATTGAAACCTAAATCCACCAAAAAGGGGGTACCAACTCAACTAGGTCCTCCAGTAGAGAGCTTAGAATAGGGGTACCAACTTTTTCTGTAGTCTATTTTAGTGGAACCCTCCCAACTAAAAAAGGGGTGAGAAAGGGCACCTAGCTGGGGGTACCTAGAAGGCCTTATTGAAGGCTTAATACAGGACTATTTGGCCGTCCCCCTCCCCCCTCCCTTCCCTCCAGCCCCCATGACAAGCATGTGAAACATGGCAGCCCCCTGGTCAAGAAGGAGCCACTGGCTCTGAACTCGCCTCATCTGCAGCGCAGAGAGGGAGCTACTCTGAGCGAGTCGAGAACCAAGGCCTGGCTCGAACATGAATCGCACAGGTCGGTGGATCGAGGGAACCACCATTTTGAAAATACCCACTTTTTTCAGGGTATTTTTTGGAAAACCTGGGTGTCCATGGTAAATACCTGCTTTTTTAGTAGAGGGTCGACCCTGACAAAAGCGGGTATTTGGAGTGGGGGGAATACTTGAGTGGTGTCCTTTTTCGTCCGGAAAAGAGAGGACTATATGTCCAGTGATTGATTCAAACTATCGAGTGGATGGGCAAAGAAGATCAAAACTTGTTAAGTTGCCATTGTTGTCAGAAAGTGACGAAAGTCCCATTACACCGGATGGCCCTTTGCAAAAGGCCTAGCATTTCCCAGTTGAGCGAGGGAAGCACGTGTGCACCCAAAAGTTGTCCAGAGTAAAACTTCAACAAACAGCAGCCAAGTGTCATGCCTCTACATCCCTTCAGGCAAAGTACGCCAACCCGAAGACCTGAAAAGTAGAAGCTGCTACCTAGAGTCTCCTTCTGACCCTTTAAAACTTTGGTCATTACCCAAAATAATGGGGTCATTGACCCATGTTTAAAGGGTCAGAAGGAGACTCCAGGTAGAGTGAGGCCAAAAGGGGGGTGGGAGTTTTGCAGTTAAGGCCCGAGCGAACCCAAAGCACCTGTGCTTTCGGGGTGGAAGGAGGGGGCCCCTTTTTTGAATTACCTGGAGATACCTGGAGTCTCCGGTCATGACCAGAAAAAGGTGGCTGAATTTTCGGGAGTCTGACCAACCATTTTTGATTCGGGTCCTTAGGGAGACTCCCACCGAGCCTTGTTTCAGCCGGGATTCTCGGGACCCCTTAGCCTTGGTTGTGTGTTGTCATTGGTCGCGTCACCAATTCCACACATTGGTCTCTTCCTGCGGTCTTCTATCCTCAAACTTGTGGTTTGGCTTCTCGGTTCACTCCCTCAGACTAACATGCAAGCTCCCAGAAGGCCGATCCTGTAAATGGAACCAAGTCTTCCAAAGGGGTCCGTTCGGGAGCTTCCATGGAATCGTCTGGGGGAGGGTTTCCCTTTGAACCAACCTAAAGGTTGGTTCACCCTGAAAATTCCCTTAAAAATGGGGGTGATATCCTATTTTCATGGGAAGTTTGAGGGTTCAGGCACCTCTCACGCGCCCTCGCGCCCCTTTCCCCGCTGAGTGGCGTGGATCCTCTCCCAAAAAGGGGCCACGGCTTTTGCAGGAAAACTAAGCCCCCCACTCCAAATACCCGGCCTTTTTTCAGGGTATGAGGTCGACCCTCTACTAAAAAAGGAGATATATTTACCATGAAAACCCAGGTTGTCGAAAAAACAAATACCCTGAAAGCAGTGGGTATTTGGAGTAGGGGAAGTTTGAGCACAGTCTCCTTCACGTGTTCTGTATGAGGTCTCCCAGCGTCCACTGGGGCGAATTCCGCGTGCAGGTGTTTCCCCTAAAGGTCTACCCACAATGAAAGGGAATTCACCCACCATTCTAGGGGTTGATTCCCCATTCTGTTCAACCCATCGTTCCTTTCAAAAACCAGCTGTTTCCCTAATTTTTGGGATGGTTTCCTGAAAAGATCCGGACCCCTGGAAAGAATGGAAATAGAAGGTAGCGATAGAACCATCATAGGGCAACTCACTTCCAATTGTGAAGGGTTATTTGAGGGTTCAAGCATAAATGACTCTCCGGGGTGGGGTGTGGTAAAGGAGTACGACACAATTTGCTCGGACGCCTGCTGTTGTGTGGTTCAGTCACAAGTTTAGTCCCGGACACAGTCTCGCGCAGGCCGAATTCGGACTTATATTCCCTGGCGTGTGACATCGAATCTTGCAAATTACAGCTGGTCCGCCGCTCCAAAGGAGTAAGGACTTCCGTTGGGCCTCCAGGCACCCAAATGCAAACATGACGCTCGCATTGGACAGTGAAGCAGTCAGGACCAGTGGAAGGTTCTAGACCTCCATTGTGGGGCAGTCAAATTGCCAATGGCTCTAATTAGGTTGCGCGTCCGCTCTGTCTAAACTTTTGCAGGTTTTTGGAAAATCCTTTTAGGTATCAATCTAGGTGGAACTCTACAAATGGCATCAGTTTTGCGTTCCCTTAAATTTAAGCCAACCCCAATTCCGGGCACCTTTCGCCTCAAAGACGAGCCTTGTGAAACCAACAGGTCATCCCCCCCAGCCGGGGCGATTCAGTCTTCAAGACCTGTGACGTACCACACGCGTGGGTGTGAGAAACTCGCGTTAAGTTCAGGTTACTTGGGTGTCCGGCCAAGCTACTAAACTTTCCGGCCTCGGTTGCCACCCGCTTATAAGCGCTATAAGTCTTCTTACGTGGGGTTCACCCAGTCGGGTTTTCCCTCCCAGGAATTCCTTGGCCACAAGGTACTTTCGGCGCCTGCCACGTGGGCGGTGCCCAGGGGCGGGCCTCTGACGGTCCGAGAGGCGTCTCGAGTCACCGCTCCTTCCCTTCAAAGTCCGGAGCTCGAATCTAATCTAGGTCCTCCAGTAGAGAGGTTAGGGTTTAGGGTGCCCACTTTTTTCTGTAGACTATTTTAGTAGGGGCACCCTCCCCCAAAAAAAAAGGTGAGAAAGGGCACCTAGCTGGGGGACCTAAGTTGTTGGCAAAAGGCGATCTTCCCTGGCCCTGAAACCAATTCAGATGTAAAAACCCCTGAATTTTAGGCCAGGCCGCCCTCAAACAAATGTTGAAAAGCGACCAGGGTTTAGTGTTCAGGATTGTCATCCACATGTTTCCCCCATTCTTAAAAATGGGGGGCTTCGGTTGAACCCTAGGATCTTCGTTTGCCCCAAGCCTCAAACGGGCCCTGCTGCAACAGGCATCCGTTTCTTAAGGTCTGGAGGGTTTGTCGCTGGTTGACCAACTCATTGGCCGAATTTCTCCCTACAAAAGGAAACCACCTTAAGGGTCATGATCCCTCCAATGAACACTCCCGGACCCTCTACTGGAGAACCCCGACTTCTCAGGGGCCCTGAAAAACACCTCTTTTTAAGAAACCAAAAACAGTCGGGACCCTTAGGGCAGTCACGTTCCAAAAGAAACGTGGAAACTCAACGAGGGGAAATGATTACATCTGGAACCGTGTGTAGCCATATAGGTGTCCTTTTAAGGGAAATAGATGGCCCTGGTAGATGATTAAACCACCAGGTAAACGAGGGCCATCTGGTTTTCCAGCAAGAACAACAACAAGGACACGTGACACCAATGTGTGTAGCTGGCCCCTCGTTTTTTTAACCATCAAAGTAACCCCCAATACTAATTCCAAAAACAAAACGAACACAGCTTCTGACTTTGATACAGTGGATGAATTCCATGGTTGAATCTCCAGCGTCTCCAACTTCTTCCCTTGCAATATGGCGAACGGGACATCCATACACCCAAAGGCCAGTCAAAATTTGGCTCCACCCTAAGCATCTTGGGCCCTGAAAACGGCCCTTTTTGAGGTCCAAAACCTTCCAATGGAGACCCTGACCCCTTCAAACAAGGGCCCAATGATGGTTAGGGTAGACGATTTTAGTGGGGGAACCCTCCCAAAAAGGGGTGAGAAAGGGCACCAATTGCTGGGGGACCAATTGCTTCAACGCTCTCTGAGTCTCAGGCTCTGCACACGGAAAGGTGGTGCTGCCGCCTCGACCCAAGCCACCCACGCAAGCCACGCAAGCCAAGCGTGACGGACGCAAGGTGTTTGTGGAGGGCTGCGACTTCGAAATCCCCGCAACGCACGAAATGAAACCATAGGCCAAACCATAACATTTGCT